ATATATAATATATATAATTACATATATAGAGAGAGAGAGAGAAAAAGAGAGAGAGTGTGTCCTGGTGTGGTGCTCTGGGTTAAAGCTTAAAGTGCTGAACTGCAAAGTAGGCTTGAACCACAAGGTCAGTGGTTCAAGCTCACCAACCGCTCCTCTGAAACCCTTTACCAGGGTCACTATGGGTTGAAACTCTCTACTTCAAGGTCAGTTTGAACTGCAAGGTCAGTGGTTGTTGTTTTTGTTGTTAAATGCCGTTGAGTGGGTTCCAGCTCACAGTGACCCTGTATAGGGTGTCTGAGGAGTGTCTGGTGAGTTTGAACCACTGACCTTGTGGTTCAAACTGACTTTGCAGTCCAGCACTTTAACCCACAGCACCATACCAGGACTCCAACACAGAAAACTAAAAACAAAGGAAAAAGTTTAAAGCAGTCTAAAAAAAAAGTTCTTACGTTGCTTACAAAGGAACAACAGTTATTTGACAAATGACTTCTTAACAGCAATAATGAAAGCTAGAAGACAATAGAATTCAAAAGACCATGAAATTACATTTTCAAAATGCTGAGAGAAAATCACTGTCAACACAAAATTGTTTACCCAATGAGCTATTGTTTAAGAAACAGCATAATAAAGAGGTTTGTGTGTGTGTTTTTACAGAAAGAAAAAAACCAAGGGTCTGATGAACTGATGAATTTCTTAAAATAAATTCTAAAACTTGAATATCAGACATAAGAAATATGATACCAAAGGTAGGCATCAGTGGTACTAGTAAGCACTCATATAAGGGTAAATTCAGACAAGCAGTGACTGTACAAAACAGCAATAATAAAAGTCTTATTAGTAGAATTTAAAAAACAATTTGAAGGGTAGAGATAAAATACTAGATAATAATATCTATTATAGGGGAGGGGGGGGACTATGTGTCAGAGTCAAGTTTCTAGAATCCCTTGTAGTTTTAGGATGAGAGTATAGATATAAATTACCTCTAAACAGTGTTGCATATTTATGCTAAAATTTCCAGGCTCATAATGCAAAGTAGAAATAGAGAGTATAAATGTCAAACTACTGGGGACAACGAGAAGAATGAGGAGTTTTCTGTACCTGTTCTCCATTCAAGCCGTCAATACCTTCCTCACCAAGGCCACCCTATGGAGCAAAGGAAGATACAAATGTTAGGAATAAGAGGATCAGGTGCACATAATTCTGTCTTTGATGTTAAGTTCCTTGCTAATATTTTTTTCAGTTGACAAGGAATGCTGTGCTGTTGCTGTTAAGTGCCTTAGAGTCAGTTCCAACTCATAATGACCCTTTATAGGGTTTCTCAGAAGCAGCTGGTGGGTTTGAACTGCTGGCCTAATGGTTCACAATCCCGTGCTGATCTTACAGTGCCACACCAGGAGAATATAGGCTTCTAAAACAGCAATGAGAGCATTTTTTTTTTTTTTCTGAATTAGTCATTAAAGTTATACACAGTTTTTCTTGACAATTTCAGGTGCTAAAGAAAAGGATAAGAAAACACCTCAACTTTTGAACAGATATTAAGACTTCCTTTAAAACTTTTGCACTGAGAAGACATAATCTGTCTCAAGACTGCATGAAACATTTCCCACTGCTTAACAGCATGCCATAACAGTAGCCCTTTCGTCATTGGCTTTCTCTAATTTAAAAATACTGACAAATATCCCTGAATTAATATTTATAATGGGAACCTGGATGATCAGAGATTAAGAAGAAACTAAATGTGTGTGTGCATTTTGAGAGACATTTGGTAGTAATTTTTTAATTTCCTTAAAAAAATAACAGAAAAAAATGAGCCAAACTAAATCACAGCAGAAACCGGCAGCTGCATAGTGGCATTGAATCAAATATTCCATCGCTTTCAAAGTGAAGGCCTTTCATTTTGCCAGCTATCTCAAAACAACTGTTAATGTGTTCATTATGAAGCATCTTTTGAAGATGAAATCTAGAGTTTTGAAAGCAAAATAAAATTCATTTTGTGTGTATAGAATAGTCGATTTACTCCTATTGTCCACACAGGAAAGTCAATTTTCAAACTTAAAAAAAAAAAAAAAAAAAAAAAAAACCACAAAAACTAAAGTGCAGCTGAGTTAGTACATGAAAATTAGCCTACCAAACTCTTGGATTAGAATTCCGTGCTATGTGTGCCATGTGGCATAGGAGATAAATCAATGATACCAAGTAACATGAGTAAGGAAGTTCCATGAGTACTTGTCTGTCCTGCTCATCACTTTGCAATCACTCCTTAGTATAATTTGGGTACCAGAGTGGGTACCTAATAGAAATTTATTAAATAGATAAATGAATAAATGGTTACACTCTGGTTATAAATCTGAATGTAAAGTAGTTCCCTGAAATACCAGCTCCTTCCCAACAACTCTATTGTAGAATCCTTCTCCCATTTGGCATTCACCTTGACCAAGCTCTCCCTAAAATCTATTTGAATTCTGTACCAACTTCTTTAGACTGTCACTTGATAAATTTGGTGACTCAATTACTACATAGTTGCTATTGTTGTTAAGTACTGTCGAGTCAGCTCTGACTTATAGCAATCTTGTGTAGGGTTTCTGAAAAGCAGCTCATGGGTTTGAATCACTGACATTGTGGTTCAAACCAACCTTGCAGTCCAGTGCTTATCTTACAGTGAGTGCCACACCAGGACTCCAACTATAGAGTTAGCAAGGCTTTAAGATATTAATATAGCATGTCTCCAAACCTGAAATACATATCTTACAAATAATTATTAGCTTGATGGTGTAGGCTAAAATAACTCCATCTGACACTTTCATTTGTCTAAAGTCAAAGGAAAAGCAATCAGTCAGTATTGTGTTTCCCAAAAATCTGCTATCCAGTTTAAGAAGAGTAAAGTAAGTCACATACCCTCTCTCCTGCAAATCCTCTTGCTCCCTAAAGTTAAAAAGAAATGAGTATGAATGAGATTTTTTAAACTTCATTTGTTGTTGTTGTTGCTAAGTGACGTGAGTCGGTTCCAACTTATAGCGACCCTGTATAAGGTTCCTGAAGAGCAGCTGGTGGGTTTGAACTGCTGACCTTCTAGTTTGCAGTCCAGTACTGATCTTACAGTGCTACACCAGGAGAAACCATATATTACCTAATTTCAAGAAAATACAATTATTATATAAAAAATGAAGATTTCTTTTTTTCTCTAATGAATGTAGTGGATGTCACAGTTCTCTGATTACTCACAACCCTCTCCCCAGCCCTTGACTGTGACATGGAAAAGATCCCACCTTGCCTCTCCTCAGATAGTAGAAGTAACCAAGGAACAGCAGCAACTTGTCTCCTATTGCTACAAGAAGCCTGCTTTTTGCTTTGTTTTGTTTTTTAAAGAAAAATGAGAATATACTGGCTAACAAGTATGAGCAAACTTCTAAGAACAATAATGGGAAAAGTACACATAACATGGTCATTGTAGTCAGGAAAACTTTCTTTAGAACACTGAGGTTGTAGAACAGTTTTCCTGGCCTTATTAAAAGATCCTCCAATCCTGTAAGATTGAAGAGTATATAATGCAGCGATTCAGAAAGGGTATGCCACCCGAATCTCTTCTATCTTTAAAATTTCAGGGTGCTCAAGTCCAACTTCCAACCATCAGCCACTCTTTTCCTGAAGGTATTCCCTGGAACCAGAGTCTGCTCTCCCCACATGCAGAAGAGGCCAGCTATGCGGAGGAATTAATGCTCCCAAAATCAGCTCCTAACTAATGCCTGATAAGAGCTGGTGTATAAACATCCCAACTCCCTTGCCCTTCAAGTGGAATAACATTGAGGTACATGTTCAACAATGGCTCCCAGAATTGCTCCACAGGATAAAGTGCCCTCTACCACCAGTGATTAGCTAATTGGTAACAATACTTTCCCTTCCTGTCTTTCTTTCCCACTCCCCTACTGGTGTTTTCTGTGATAACCTCCCAGTAAACAACCGACGCTTATTCCTGTTTTCAGGCTGAGGAGGAGCTAAGGCTTGTTAGCTACGTTGAAAGATGTAAGTGGGATAGGGAAGGAGTACCACAGCTCAACGTCACACTCACCTTAGGACCTCTCAGACCCTGACACCCTTCCTCCCCTCGGGGTCCAGGAAGACCCTGAGGGCCTCTTTCTCCCTGTGGAAATAAATACACATGAAGACAGGCAAACAACTGTCTGTGTTACCACCACCCAGTCAACTCAAACCAGTAATAATCAGTGACTAAAGTAAGACACGTCCTTAAAGTGACTTCTACACTTTCAAAGACCAGATCACATCACCTGCAAAGCAGCCAGATTATGCACTCTTCAACTGCCCAAATTAGTTTTTTTTTTCTTTTTTTCCAGTTCAGTCAAGCTACATGGGCAAAATTTCCTTTAGGCAGCTCAAACTGGAGAAAGAGTCCCATATGATGCCACAAAAAAATAAACCATATTTATTACTTTTACTCTTTAAATAAAATACTATCCATTCTTAAAACATAGATAAAACAGATTGTGTTCCATCCTCTAATGAAGCTTTTTCTGTTGACTTCACCCATCTGTCCCTTTAGTTTGCTTGTAGCATTTGGGGATACCACTGTTTCAGCACTTAACATATCATATCATAGTGGGATTTTTTTAGTGTATCAGAGTCACCCATATTGTGTGCTCACAATTTACAGCTGAACTTACATTCATGCACATTGGATGCAGACTACATTTTTAGTTATCTCAGCTCCACTGATTAAAAAAAATAAAATGACTGTACTTCATTATTATTAAACACAGTGAAGACACTGTATTTAAAATAAAAACAAACTTGTCCACATGATATTTGTTTTAACAAATTTAATTGTATAAGTTAGAAAAATGTTTACGACTTGAGTGCAATTAAGCATTACTAATATTTGACCTATTTACTGTAGTCCTTCAGAGAAAAAACAAACGAAGGTTCAGTACTTACAGGTATGCCTTCTTCACCAGGATAGCCAGGTAATCCAGCAAGACCCTTCTTTCCCTAAGGAAAAGAGCAATTGAAATGCATCACCTGGACTCTCAATCCTCCGAGTCTATGTGAAGTATTAGACACAGATACACTTGTCTCCTGAACTGGCATTTTATTGAGAATCTATTGAACTCCCAGAACAATCCTAGGTGCTCTGGCTGCTGAGAGATTCTTGGATTAAGATGAAACACGAATACTTCTTGGATTTCATAGTCAACCTATTTAAATTTTCCCCAAAATTCCTTTTTAAATCATGCTTTTATTTTTTTTCAGCTCATCACTTTCTTTACTACACAGACTTCCCTAAAATTCAAATTTTATTATAAAAATATTCATAACACAACTTTTGTTGACAATTCAACATTTTTTTGCATATGCAATTAAATGTGATCAATTATATCGATCTTGATGTGAAACCATCACCTTTGCCAAATTTTCCATACCCATCAACAAAATCTCAATGATTTGTAAACAATAATTCAGGGAGGTAGGGGAAAGTATTATAAATCATGCTAATTTGAAAATCAAACAAAGATTAGATTAAAAGCATAAAGTAAAAACTCTCCCTCTTGAAAAGGACTTTGACTTTGCTTTAAAGAACATCAGTAGGCAATGATGTTCCCGGCCATGTTATGTTTATAAGAAATGGTCATTTATTTCTGTATGACTCAACTATTTAGTCTCTTTTATTTACTCTCTCTAACATACCTAAACACACAAACCCATTTCCTCTCAAGGAAGTATGTCTTGCTATTTTATAGACAGACGTTTCATTGCGTTGTAATTTAGTGTAAACACTGGTTAAACACTGGGTGACATTTTCTATTTGTGATCAATACAGCTATGAAAGTTAACATAACCAATACAACTAACCACTGAATTTTAACAAACTGCAAGAGCAGAGAAGTGTAAGACTCCAAAGTGCTTCTTTGAGGCACAATCTCTGAGTTGCAAAGGAATTCTGTCAAGTGGTTCCCAAGTTTAGTTTTCTAATTCACCAATCTGATATTAAAGAACAACATGGGAGCGGGGACAGGGAATCTAGAGCTAACAATGTATTTTTCATAACATAGTTATACACTTTATACTGTCCTAAATTTAACTGTTGATATAAAGTTAATATATTTTACTTAACTGTATCTATGGATTTGTGAGCATACCTCTATCAAAATAAAGCTGTAATTTCTGTGAGAATGAAATGATGCCAGCCCTGGATATCTGAGGATCATTTCCAAAAAGATGTTGTTGTTGTTAAGTGTCATTGAGTCGGTTCTGACTCATAGCGACTCCATAGGGTTTCCAAGGAGTAGCTGGTGAGTTTGAACATCTGACCTTGTGGTTCAAGTCAACCTTTCAATCTAGTGCTTTTTCCACAGCACCACACCAGGACTCCTCCAATGAGATATTCCCCTTTCAATGTGGGCAGTGGTACATTTCCTATCAGTAAACCCTAGAGTTATCATGGTGATGCATTCTAACCACCACATGACACCAATGATTCTGTCTCCTCCCAGGGTTTAATGTTATTGAAACAATGTTAGGTAGGAGGGAAAGAGGCACTTGCTACTGTAACAAAAGTAATGTGAGATTAGGGAGAATTTTTTCAGCGCTCAAAACTTCTGTGCAGCAGTAAAATTTGTAAATTAGTTGTTAAATGTATGTGTTATTGTATCTTGCCTTCAAGTCAGGTCTGACTCATAGTCAGACCCTGTATAGGGTTTCTAAGGAGTGGCTGGTGAGCTTGAACTGCCGACCTTGTGGTTCAAACCAACCTTGCAGTCTAACGCATTTACCCTCAGCACCACACCAGGGATCCCAGGTCTACCTGGCTACAGGCAGCATAATATTGTGGAAAGGATGTGAGGCTTGAAGTCAGGTTGTTGTTGTTGTTGTTGTTGTTGTTGTTGTTGTTGTTGTCAGGTGCTATCGAGTCGGAACCGACTCATAGCGACCCCATGCACAGTAGAATGAAACAATGTCCGATCCTGGGCCAACCTCACTACCACC